TCTTATATTCCAGGAAGTGATCACGAAGGGTACGTTACCAATGGATTTTCTTTTCATGCGATCTATGATGATGGATATAGCTTCTGTGAGAATTTCTTCACTATTGTATATGAAAGTTTGAGATCGAGCGAGACATCGTTAGATATTATACTACTCATATATTTGTTCTCGGACATTATATGCAAGATATATTTTGCAGGGACTGTGTTACATTCACGAATCTACCATGCTCAAGCATGGACGACTCACTTCTCAGGTACAAGTCACTTTTTCAAGCATTAGAAATAAGGGCATTCCTGAGCTTAACTTAAGAACTGTGCTGTCGATGACCGATGGCAGGTTAAAATCTCCTACTATGGAATGTCGTGCATAAAGGAATATGAGCGCAGAACACTAGAAGGTAGAGTTTGCAAAAAAATCAGGTCGGATTGGATGAAGCTTATTTAGAGCAGTTGTGGACAGCTCCAGAAATTTTGCGAGGAGAAGCCGATGATATGGGGACGACTGAAGGAGATGTGTACAGGTAGTTCAACATTAACATAAATCTACTTCAAAAGATAGAATGCGTTGGATCTTTCAAGTAAAAGGTTGCGACTGCTCAAAACAAACTAAAAACATATCGAAAGAGGCAAATGTGGCTTCACAATAAACTTATTTGCAGCTTCGCCATAATTGCCAGCGAATTGGTCACTAAAAAGCCAGCCTGGGACTTGGACAATAGGAAAGAAGATGCTGAAGGTTCGCCAAGCCTCAAACTGTATGAGGGTGTTTTGATGTAAAGTGATCCGTTCAGAACTCGTCTTTCTAATTATAAAATCGAGCATGGACCCTGTTCGACCAAGCCTTGACAGCCAAGAAGTTGCCGAGATAACCCCTGCGCTGGTGAGTACAAAATATCTCATTGCTTAGTGTGTACTGTCAAACATTTAGATCCATCTTATCCGCGAATGTTGGTCTGAGTGGCCGAGGCATCGCCCAAATATGAAAAAAGTCAAGTTATTACTCACTACCATGCAAGCGGGAAAGTGGGTGTTGGTTTTTATATGATTTTTTTCTGTTATCTCAACTGCATTTATAGACAGCTCAATTTAATGGACCACGTAATGCACACGCTGGAGAATTACGCAAGTTCGCTAGAAGCAGAGGTGCAAGAACGCATGAAAGAACTTGTAGCCGAAAAGAAAAAGAGTGATCTTTTGCTCTATAG